CAATATCATCCAAAACATGAGGGTTGCTGAGTGAAACTGTGATATCTGGCATAGTGGATTAATAAACAAAAGACAGGGAACTGGGTTTAATGTGCCCAAATTACTGGGTGATAACTTAAACCATACCGGCTGCTTCCATCATATCAATGAAAATGGGTGCATTTGCTCATATTTTAAGTAAAAATTTTAAAAGTAAAGAAGAAATGAGCAGTGGTTTGTAAGCAATTACTAGCTTTTTTATCACATAGAAGTTATGACATGTTAAATTAACATGACTTAATAGATTTCAGGTTCTTTTTTTTTTCCCCTCTAAAAGGTACAGTGTTCTAGTTTTACAGATTTCATCAGGATACTTTTTGCACTAAAAGCAAAATAAAGTCATAAAAATAACAAGGAAGATACAGAACGACGTTTAAAATTTTAGCCCTGCTGACAGATTTTTACACTTTGTTTTCCCTTTCTGTATTAGATATTGATTATTGAGAGATGACTGCTATATTAAAGTAGAAGTCGTTAGTAAAGATTCAGAAGCTTATCCTATTTAAACTGGAGGTGAGTAAATTAAGTCTTAACTCAGAGCAAAAAATTTGATTTGTTGACCCAATAAAGTGGGACTAAGAGACAAACTGTCCCAAGTGCCACTTTAGTTCAGACTGAAGGCTAATTTGTTTGACAGGATACTAGGCTTCATGTCTCCAGTTATACAATGTTCCTAACCTTAGGTCTGGCTCCTCAAGAGGTCTGTATTGAAGGAAGAAAAACCTAACTTTAAAAGACTAAAAATCGACCAGTGTGGGTTTTGGAGTGTTTAGAGGCTGCTTTTTTTTGGTTTGTTTGTAAGCATGTTGTGGTATTCACCCAGATGCATACAGTTAAGTAGGGTAGTGGCCTATTGATGTTGAAACATAGTTTCTTCTAATTCTACAATATTATTGTAATCCTTTTAGAATACCAAGGTTAACTTTCTTAAGACTCATGAAAGGTATCTAGTTTTGAGTGTGTATCCTGGGTGAATAGTAAGACTTGGTTGTAACAGTTTCTGTTCAGTCCTGTGTCACTGATGTATTTTGCCAGTGGGAATGAGAGGTATCTTAGTACCTTCCTTTCTTACACAGTAAAAGAAGGTGTTCTGGTGGCTGTTGCCTGATATGTCAGTAGAGCACTAGATCTAGTTCTGCTGTGGTACCAGGAGGAAGGTAAAGGGTATAATTTCCTGCGTACTATCTTGAAAGTAGAAGGCTGGATTGGCAACTGCTATATGTATATACGTATATAGCTTTGGGCTTTTTTAGGAGATGGGTTGTGTGTTTGTTTTTAAGACCATGCCATTTAGTATTTACAAGGAAATGCCCTACATACATTAATAGATCTGTAAGGAGAATTGGGGAAGATTTGCTGAAAATGTAAACAGTACTACTTATTAGAGAGACGTGCTGGCCGATGAGACAAGAACTTGCTTCCTTCAAGTGATAAGCAATTTGCGTAATCTCATTGCTTAGGTTGTCCAGGATATGTTTTTGCAAGCTCAGGAAGCAGAAGAAAGAAAGTTTCAACAATTTGTAAACATTACCACCCTCAAGAATCTCTATGAACACAAGGATGAGATAAGACGGGCTGTAGGGCTGGTTATGTTGTTTATTTATTCTACTGTCCTGCAGTCCCAAGGGTGCTGAAAAACACTGGGTCAGCATTGAGTCCAGTTCAGAAATGTGAAGGCTTCACTCAACGTTGGGCAAAAGAGGCCTCTGCAGACAATTATGTGTCATTAAAGAACATTAAAAGAATTGAAACACAAGATCAGATTTTCTTTGATGGGATGTGCAACTATAGTGATGTTCAAAAGAAGGTCATTCCTGCCCTTTAGAGCAGGGGTGGTATTGACTGGGTTTCTGATGGATTTTTATCAGTGTTGATGTGAGGAAATGGCTTTCCCAGCTGATAACATCTTTGACCGAGTTTCTTGAACCCTTGACCTTTATCAGTCAAGGTATATATTGAATCCCCTTGTTAAAAGTAAATCCCAAAACGAGTTACATCGAAAAGAAAACTTTCAAAGGCATGTGTTTTATAATATTATTTTACCTAGAAAGCTGCTTTATTTGTTACAATTTGGGATTTTTATTGAGATTATAAGAATAGCAAGTTACTAAGAAATGCCTCTATAAAAGCTACACATCAAGCCCTGCATTCGCGTTCTGGGCAACCTTACTACCCTCAGCACCCTTCGAAAACAAGTAAATCAGTTAAATTCCGATGTATTGTTGTTGGATGTTACTTAATAGTACTATTTCACCCTCCAGGTAGCTGCAACTGTATTCACAGGGCTCAGTAAAGAAGTGTTTTATGATGTCAGTGTCAAACTGTGAGTTTGACTTGAACTGTGTACATCACCACATAAATGAAAGGCGTTAACAGAAGGCTGGAGCAATAGGATTGTTCTGTCAGTAAAAATCAAATTATGTTCAATTTCCACAATTATTGTGTTCCTGTAGATGGAGGGGACTTTAGGTAGTGGAACTCTGTCCCAAAGCTGCAATTTGGCCAGGCCATCAGAATTTATGCAAAAGCATTATGTGATTGTGAGCACTTGGAGAAGTAGTCACCTGTCTTTTCTGATGATAATACCCTAATCATGTCATCTTTTCTTCAGATTTTAACTGAAAACTCTTTAGGAACTATCAGTTCTCCATATTCTACACTTTGGGAGTCACTTATTTCGGGGATCTTTATGTTTGTTGCCTGTAAGTAACTATACTTCCAGCTTTGTGAGGCATAGCATCGTTAAACTTGGGGCTTTTCTGCAGTCTTGGAGACAAGCAGACTTCTACACCATCACCAGTGGATTTCCTTATCCCACTGTGATGAATAAGGCCATCCAAGGATTCTGAAAGGGAAATCTTGGTGTACTGTGACCTAGCTGTATGGCTACGGTCTGATCATCCTATAATACAGAGATAAACCTTAGTTATAGTGCTGTGTCAAGTCTTGCACATGGTAGATATAAAAGTTAAAGCCTTAATAGGTATGTTTATTCTGAATGACAAGGAGTGTTAGTTTACATCTCTTCATCTCATGTGACTATGTTCTCACATTCTGAAGTCCTCTATCAAATCCTGCTGTAAACTGTGCAGCTGCTGGAAGTGAGGCTGTAAGATCAGGATTGTTGAGGTTGGCGGATATTAGAGCTTGTGGAAAAGATGTTGTAGGTCAGTGCAAGGGAAACCCATGTCAGGGAACCTTATCTGAAAATACTCTCTGGCTTTTTGTTTGCTTTGTAATGTCAAAGTAAGGTCAAGAATGTGATCTGTATAGACAGAGTTTTGAACGCTTTGGGTTTTTACAAGAAAATGTTCTTTTTGAAGTGTAAGTACCATATAACAGGGTAGTGCCTTTTGGTAGGCCAGCTGATAGAGCTGGGAGGTGGGGAGAAAGGTGATTTTTTTCTCTTTGTCATCTGATGTTGGTGTAATAAAATTATTTTCTGTCTCTATGAACCCTGTCATGCTTGTCTCTTGGAACCACCATGGTGGTAGCAATGTTACACTTGTTTAAGCTATGTAAAGTAGTGGTATCATCTGCATATTATTGTTTCTTGTGGAAATAAACCCTGTCAGACGAAGGACAGATCTTCCTGTTTTCACAAACCAAAGATAATAACAACCATTTATCCAACAGAATTCCCAGAGAAATTTTAGTGGGTGTACAGTTAGGCAGGGCAGAATATAATGTGTATGTGATGTTGAGGAGGAGACAACATGCCATGTCTTTTTGTCATCTCATTCCTATAAGAGAGACCATGCTGAGAGTAGGAATTGCAGCTCCTGGTGATGTTTGACTTGGTTTTCAAACTCATGTCCACAACTGCTCAGGTTAGAAACAATTTTTTTCCTCCTTTTCTGTGGCAAAACCTGGGTTTGTGCAAGCATTCTGTCCATTCAGTCATCCTTCCCAAAAGCGTTTAGATACTTTGGTATGTTTGCAGAACATGTGACTGAAGGTTAGAATAGCAAAAAATAATTAAGTGAGTATTAGTGGCTGGTTAAGGTGAGAAAAGCAAATATCTTCGCTGAAGGATAAGAGTGCAGCATCGACGCTAGATCTCTGTTGTGGTTGGACTGCAACACATCAAGTTGGCACATGTGCGCTGGTTGACATATGTGTTAGAGGCATGAGCATCAGCACGGGCCGTTTCTTTCCCAAGTTGCCAGACATAGCGAAGCATGGGGGAAAGAAGAGAAGATGGTGGTCAAGTTAGTAGTTGAAGGCAAAGATGGAGTGAGGGAGTTGGAGTGACCTTGCGGGGTGGATGAAAGATAAGGTGATCTGCAGTTTCCTGACATCAACATTAACTGTTAACACAACATTTGGGAAGGCCAGTAACATTTGGTCTGCACAGACTGAGTGTTGTCGTACTCCACATAAAACTGAGATCCATTGCATGTGTATATGTATATTTTAGCATTTTTTAATTTATCCCATAAATGAAAAAAGATAGAGTTTTACTACTTGTTTACTTGAAATATTTCATGATAAAGAGAACATGGGCGCATCATCAGAGATTCCTTTCAGAATATACAATCGAAAGGTATTTTTTTCTTTAGCTTCGCCAAGGACCAAAGCGAAGGGGAAAATGACCCAAATGAATGCTGTATTGAGGGAAACATTTCTGATAGGATTTGATATAAGAAAATGTTTAGAAAAGAAAAGAATTATGTTTCAAGAAAATGAGAGCTAGAATGCACGATGTCTTGTTGTGTTACTTAAGGCAATGAGATTTTAAGGTTTACCTTAGGTGCCATGTATATTGATTAAATACCAAATATATGATGGCCATTTCTAGCCATCATTTACTGTATTGATTTGTCAGCAGTGGAACTGTAATAAAAAAAGCTATTGATTTACTGTCCTTATTTGCTTATGGGCTTTTTATTAATTTTACACATTGTTTCCTATTTCTAGATTATCATTTTTATGTGGTGTTTTTTTTTCTTTCCTTTAAGACAAGCCTGGTCCTCTCTGAAGTTGGAAAAGTGGAACAAAGTGAGGGACAAAGGAATGAAACCATCAGCTGCTTCTTGCTAGTTCTTACTGAGCGACAGAAGCTGCGTAAAGAATGGACAGCAAGGTGAGACATTTTTAAAAAATAGGAAAATAATAAAATTAGAAACAAGTACATCAAATATACTCCTATAAATCCCCTTGGGGGAGGGGGCAAGTTGATGTTTGGGGAAAAAAAAAAGAGATTCAAAATTTTTACTGTTCCTTGAACGGATTAGTCAATGTTTCTGGTTTTAATTTCAGAGTTACTTTGTGGGGTAGAATGCTCCCTCATTGTGATTATACAGTGCAGTTTATTGATAATAGCTTGATAGGCAGCATACATACTTGAGGATTGATATCACCTTAAATGCCCTAAGGTTTTCCTTATATGGCTAACAATATGAGCAGTACTCCTTGCTGGCATGCCATGCTAATAGATACCCCTCATCTGCTTTCTTCACAATCTTCACATTTTCTCATGGTGTCCTACTGGTATTAACTGGGTTGTGTTGGATGAGATTGGCATAAATGTACATATTGCTGGGGTTCATATCATCTGACTGCTTTCTTATACCCGAGTTCTTAAATTGAATTTGTTGCCATTGTAATAAATCAGGTGATGTTGTTAACAATTTTTAAAAGTTGTTTATGGTTTTATTTGAAAAAGTTTGTGTGACTGGAATGTGTTCAGCTGAATGCATTTCAGCAACTACAGATACGTCATGCTTCTAATTCATTCAGAAATATGTGAATTTAAAAAAAAAGCAAATTTCCACCATCTGCCACCTTGTGTCTTTCTCTTTAGCTGCTAAATGAGTTGGTTGCCTTTTTTCACATCTATTTCTAAAAAGCTATAGATTTATATGTGTTTAATAATCTCTTTTTTTTCTTATGACACTTACATAAAATATCTAATAGTGTATGAAATTTTCCTATCAAATGTACAGCTTTCCTTTAAAACTGGGAGATGTCCTGTACTTACAGTTAAATACAATTTTCTGTGAAAATTATTTTTAAATAAGACTTTGATAGTCAAAATTAGCACTTATGTGGCATGATTTTTTTTACCTGCCTTAAATGTTCCAGTTAACAGAGTTCTCCTGTGTTTTCTTAGTGTACAATTTTGGAAAGTTCCTGAAAATTCTGTGAGATTCACTTGAAAAAGTTAGTTGTAGATATTGAATCTAACACTTGAATGACTTTGCTATTTCCAGTAACTACAGTGAGTGAATTTGAAACATTTTAGAAACTTTAGATAAAAATTAAACATTGTTACATTGTATCAATTATTGTACAAATTAGAGGCTCTGTTTTATAAGTTTGTGTTCCTATGAGTATAGAATGTTTATTTGTATACTAATCAGTTAAGATCTCGGAGCAGAAAAGAGCTTTGTAAGGTGGGTCTACAATATTGTTCATATTATCATGTGGTTTTTATTTCTTCCCTTTTGAGGAATTTAAGGGGTTTTTGGGGAGGGGTTTTTCCATCACCATGCTTACTAAATAACGTAAACGGTTTAGCCACATTGGAAATGGAGGAAATCACATAAGTCTCTTCTGTGGGACAAATGCATCTTTGTTGTGAACCAGAATAGAAAACATCCTAGGGATAAAAGGCTGAACAATTCTAATGAGTGGAATATCTTTTTGTTTAGTTTAACAATGATTCACTAATATACGAAGTCATCGGGAATCATTGCAATCGGGAGTCATTTAAAAGTAATGTGGATTACGGTGTTTCTGGCCTCTGCTGGCTGCTCACAATGTGGTGGGAGGCTGGGGCCAGCATTGCAGTTGTAGACATAGTCTAGTCTCTGACACAGAAATGCTAAAGTTCTTGAGTGGGGGTGGGGAGAGGCACAAGCAGATGAAGTGCAGGCCGCCTTAAAGCTAAACACCTGAAAGAAAATTTCAAGAGCATTGTGCCTTGAAAAGTTCTGAAAGAAAGTGTCCTTTGAGTATTAAATATCCATAATCCTTTTTCTTTCCATTTGATGTTTCCCATTCCAGTGACCTATCTGAGAGTCTCATCCATATGATCTGCATAAACAGACTGTTACCATACACCTCACTTTACTTCATCAAAGCTTCAGCTAGATGTCTGGAATGAAGCACTGACTGTGGTAGCCATCAAGCATACGGTGGTGAAAGTTATAAAACGTCCGCCGTGGTACTAGCAGGGCTGCCCTTGTTTTAGAGATCAGTCTATTGTGCACTTTGGAATTACATGAGAAAAATGTGCTTGGACAGGAAATAATTAGCACTTGTCAAAGGGCAGGCAATAGGTTACAGTATTTTACTTTCAACAGGCTATCAGGGGATCAGCTAGATTAGATAATAGAATTTTTTTTCCTCTGGAAGTTAAATACAGATGACTCTAATTACCTTACATTGTGCATTAGAGAGCACATTATGAACAGTACAACCTCAAGAAATTTAGGTCAATGAAGGGAGGGCAGCTGACAAAAACTTTCCTCTGTGCTAGGTCTTTGTAGAGTTATGCAGGCATTCTGTTCTTTCATGGGTTTTATTTGTGTCATTAACACCTTAAATAAAAAAATACATGCTGGGAACTCTTAGTACAAACTGATTCAACTTTTAGAAGTTTTGACTTTCTCAGAGAAAGGCATATGAACTATTTTGATATGTATCTACTTGGTTAAAGCATGTCCTTGCATTATTTGCTTTAAGTTGTGCCAGTGTTTCTGCATATTAACGAACTGAAATTACTCTTTTTATTTCAACTCCATGGTCCAAAACGCATGGTAGTGCACTTAGTGTTGTGATTCACTGTTTTGTATACTTTTGACTCAAAGATATCATCAGTATCTTCAGTATCTGAGCAGATCTTCTAGGGATTCAAGTTGTTCTCTGTTGAGTGGTAGTGATCCAAAATACTTCAGTAGGACTCGGTGAGTGTCGTCTAAGTGTTAACAGAAATGGGCCAGAGTTTCTAAAGCCCCAGATTTGTTTATACTGCATGATAGTGCCTGATGGACAGGTTGTTATAGCTGTTAAAGAGCTGTTCAAGCCCTTTGAACTGACCCATTCTTGACCTCTGCTTATAGAAGGTCACTGTTCAGCTTATAAAGTAAGGGGAACCTTAGATTCTACTGTAACAACCAGAGGGTAAAGGGAACAGCTGTGAATTTTGGACTAACCATGCAAACCTGCATAGCCTTTTTAGGGTCACTGTATGATAATGAAAATTGTTACCAAATTATATGGAAATTTAACAGCAATAGTGGGAAAGAGAGGGTGGAGTCTAATGTATTGGATTTGATAAATGAAGTGTGAAGTTACCCATCTGGCTCTAGACAGCCCTCTTTTTCTCTACGAAAGGGAAACATTTAAAAATAACCATGGTACATCTAGAATCAATGACCCATACAGAGAGCTGGAATAGATCAAGATTTAATGGTGGCTGTGGAAGAAATTATCATTTGAAGAGTGAGACAAAGGATGAAAAAGTACAGTTCAATATCTGCACCTGATTCATTTTCAAAAAAGACCTTAATATTTTTACCCCATTGATGATGCTATTGACATTTTTTATTTTAGTTTTTAACTGGAACTAGAAAAGTTCTTATAAAGAAACTGTTTGGCCAAAAAAAAAAAAAAGTACTTGAATTTCAAGAGAGAATGTTGCACTTTTCCTAATCAGTGAATGCTGAGGAGAACTGGACTATAGTTCAATAAAAATTGTATCTCTTATTTCTCCTAATAGAACTTGTATCATAATAATCTTGTCTTTAATGCTTTCATGACATACTGCCCTTAATTGCTAGTAGTTTTTTGCTATATTTTTCATATAGATATTTTTGGTAGTAAACTAATTTGTCAATAATAAATCAACAATAGATTAATTCAAAGGATAATGTTTAACTGCATTGAAATTATTAACTGCTAGGAAAAACAAGATTAGTTAAAACATTACTGAAATAAGTCTTTTTTTCATGCAAAAAATTTGTTAGTTCAAAATGATTTTATTATAACACAGACTCTGATGTCCATTTTGCTCTTTCCCTTTTTGAAGTTGCACCATTTCTCTTAGGGGAAGTTGAGCCAGGTAATGGAAACTGTAAAGTTTTAGAGAAAGAAATAAAGAAGTAGAAAGTTTAATAGGGAAATAAAATTGTTTATGATGATTGTATATTCATAGTTGTGCTACTTAGCCAAATTCTGAAATCTTAAGTTCTCTCCAAGTCATCATGTAATGACAAATTGACATAGTGAAAAAAGAATAAACATTCAATAAATAATTTGCACCAAAGTAAACATAAAATTTTTCTGGTTCATGAGATAAACAGCAGAAAAGTGTTAATTGTAAGATTTGTAGTATCTTGTAAGAATCAATAGCTTAAAACCTTGCCTCATTGAAATAACACAATGAAAAAAATCTATTTTATGGTGTCATTCTACAACCCATAACATTTTGTAGATCAGATCACTGTGTATTTTTAGAGTTATTATATTCTTCTGTCTTTGCACAACACTTCAAGAAAGAACCTCTTAGTTCTTTTAATTGATGCCAAATCATATAAGTTTCAGGTTTCAAGTCAAACTTGAACTATAATTCCTTAATGTTTTTTTGCCTTTGTCAAACACCTTCTTCGATCTCACAATTTTGACATAACTATGTAAAGGTATGTATTTTTTCTACCTACAGTGAATGCTTATCACACTCCTGAGATAGTCTTACCTCTCAGTGAAATCTGGATTATTATATGGATATTTATATAGGAATTTAAATTATAAGTACGTAGTGTGACAGTTGAGTCCTAATCTGTGATAACACTGATCGGGTTCTATAATAAGAACAATGAGGAATATTAGAGTGGAATCCTGAAATAGTATGCATGTTAGATGAGATACAAACAGGAAGATTTTTATATATTTTATTTTCTGTTTTGAAGAAAAAGTTAATTTTTTTTTTTATATGCCTTACCTCTTTATACCTTGGATTTTTAGATTGTATCTAAGGTGGCAATTGAGGTAGATTTTACTGGTTCTAGCTCCAGCAGGAGAAAGCAGTGTTGATGTAAAGATGGAATGTATTTCCTTCTGTAACAGAAGAAAAGTCCGTGGG